CACACGATGCGGTGCCCTTTGCTTTTGCCTGTTGTGGGGGCTGCGGCAGCAAGAAGGCAAAGCTTCCTCCAGAACCTGGCCTAAGAGGACCAGAGCCAGCGCGCAACCCATCAAAGTCTCTGGGATGAAAGGCAGCTGGGCGGGGAGGCTAGAGCTAGTTAATCCAGGTGCCGGCGGCGGGAGGGGGGCTCCTCATGGCCCAGGCAAACAGAGCCACCCAGCAGAGAGGGCCACAGCTTTGACCCCAAGGAGCGGAGCACAAGCAGTTCAGTAGGACATATGGGGCTGGCCCACCCAGCGGTGGCTGCCGGGGGTCTGCTGTTCCCCTGGCCACCCTGCGTGGCTGGATCAGGGCGTGGTGGTGGCATGGCATGTAGCATGCGTTTTGTCCTCCCTCCTTCCAGGCCTCTGCCGCTCCTGCATACATTAAGCGGTAGCTAGCAGGGTTTAGAACCGCCTGTGAGTGCCTATAAATACCATTTACTGTCTGGGCTCACAAGTAACAAGGGAAGCCTATTTTTTTACCCCTTCTTAAAAAGCCAGCCAGCTCGAGGTGGGCACTCTGCTACCATGGATGAGAAGAAAGCGTTCCCCTTACAAAGAACAACTGGGGGGAGGGGGGGGCTCATGTCGAGGTTCCACACCCTGCTGTGTGCAGAGTGGCATGCAAACATTTCGACAAAGGCCCCAGCGAGAGGAGGAAGTATTTTTTTATGGAAAGAGAAATACCTTGCAGGTGAGGGATCTTGTGCAAGGTTTCTTTGTCTCGGGATCCAAGACTCCACAGTGTTTATTTGGGTCAAATTCTCTCTCTGGTTTAAGAAACAAACAAAAAATATAAGAAAGAAGGAGGCTAAAAAGGAGTTGGCATTAAGACTACATTAGAAAAAAAAAATATGCACATTTGCACCAACAAGTCAGGCAATCTCTCTTTTTCTCTGTTCTCCAAACTGGCTGCCCAAATGCTTCAAGAACCTTGCAGAGCAAAACGGCTCCCCTGCGGATGGACTGGAGACCCGAAGTCCAGTGGGGATGGGGACGTGGCATGAAGCTCGGGGGAGGGGAAGCCACATGGAGACTGGGACACTTGGTAGGACTTGATCGGCTCTGTTGGCACTTTGGAAGATGGCTGCAGTCTGGGGAGAACCACCGAAGGCCGGAGAGCTCTTGTCCCCAGCCCTGGGATGCTCCAGGAGTCTTTCCAGCTGCCGTCCCCATCCCCACCCCCACCCCCTGCCTGCCTGCCAGTCTGCCTGCTAGTTTTGGCCACTTCCAACAGGAGCGTGCTCCTTGACATGTCGGTGTGAGCCGGCTCCCTCAAGCTTTGCAAAGCCCTCTGTGGCTTTCTACAGTTTCATGGGCCAGTCTACCGCTGGCCCGACTCAGGGACACTGGCAGTGGCAGAGCAGGGGCAGGGGCAGTCCGGTGTGTGTGTCTTATTTGATGTGGAAGAGGGCAGAACAGACCACAAAACCCAAACCTGCTGCCCTTGAGTCTTCTAACTCACAGAGATCCCGTGTGCTACAGAGAGCAACTGTTCTATGGGCGTCTCCGGTCCTTTCTTCTTCTGCACACCGACGGGAGGGTTCCAACTGCCAACACTTAGATTAGGAGATGGGCGCAAACCCCAGAGCAAACTCCAGAGCGGGCCCAGAAACCCAAGCCCACCATCTCTGAGTCCATTCTGGTTCACAGCGACCCTCTGTAGAGTTTCTGAGATTATACATCTTTCTCACCTGGGGGGCTTGGGGGGATTAAACTGCTACCTTGGGGTTGGCAGCCTACAGCTTAATCCATAGAGACACTAAGACTGAGTGGACAGGGTCTGCCTATCTCATAGCCTACTTGTTCGGTCCCCATCCTGGGCATGAGACCACCAATGAGGCTCCAACTGGGCGGCTGTGCCCTTGGAGTGGGTGGGGCAGTGTGGGGGGGCAGCTGGGTTGTCAATGGCTCCTGCTGAGGCCCCTTCCTGAGAAGCTGCACCTCTCACTGCTCACTGTAGAGCCCTGATGGCCAAGGGGCTACAGGTGGGGCTGAGACCCACAAGGTTGGCAATTAGAAACCACCAGGTGCTCCTTGGCAGAACAGGGCTTTCTACTCCCATAAACACTTGCAGTCTCAGAAGCTTCAAGGGGGCAGTTCGACCCTGCCCTCTCAGGTCACTGTGAGTCGGCCGGCAGGGACTTGATGGCAGCGTGTGCAGTTTTGTTGACCTTATGCCCTGCCAGGGATTATGAAAACAGCTGTCTGCACTTAGAAAGGGAGGGGAAGTGAGGTGAGCTCCTTCAACTTGGCTGTGACCGGTCCTGAAGAGGCCAGTGCCCGCAGCAGCGAGGGGCCTTCACTTGGAAAGCAGCCCGGCATGAAACTGGTGGGCTAAACCCCGAACAGAACAGATGGAGTCTTGCCTGCTTCAGACTGATGATCAGAGAGAGCAATCCCTGGAGAAGGACAGCACGCTTGGCAGAGACAAGAGGAGGACCCTCAAGGAGAGGGCGTGATGCAGTGGCAGCAGCAATGGGCTCCCCTATAATGATGGGGCAGGACCGGGCAGTGTCTCCTTCTGTTGGGCCCAGGGTCGCTAGGGGTGCTGACTGGCTCCATGGCACACAACAGCAACAACATTTGTAAGGGAAAAGAGAGAAGCTTGGGGTCCTGAAGATGATGTTAGCAATGAAACCATTCTCACGGCCAAGACAGATGCCCTAGTTGGCTACCCAGTGCCCGCCCACCCGCTCCCTGTCATGCTGCGGTCCTCTTTCTGTACTTTCACTGAGGAGGAGAGAAAACACCATCAGTTTGGAGAACCCTCTCCCCCCAGCCCATCAAGCAGTGAAGGCACTAGGCCCTAGGCTGCCTGGCCTGGATTGCTCGTCAGCGTCTGACCCATGCCCAGAGCTGCACCAACACCCCCTGTGGGCTTGAACCTGAGCAGAGCAGGTTGCTTGGCTGTGAGTAGGAGTTACGGCCCATGTGCAAATAAGGTAGAAGCCAGTGAAAGACCCACAGGGACAGAGCAACCAACAGCACCCTGCCCCTCGGACAGAGGCAGGTCGGGCTGCAGGCAGGCCACCTCGGCCATGCTCTTGCCAGGACAAGGCACCGAGGAACCTGGACCCCCGGCTGAGGCCCAAGGGTTGTCCAGGGAGGAGGCTAACTTCCATTAAGGAAAGCGCCGGGCCCCAGCCCACGCAGGGAGTGCTCTGGCTCGGCCTCCCTATGCCGATGGCGTGTGAACAGGGTTGCCGGGTGCTGTGGCATTGGTTCCAACTCATGAAGACCGGGACAGCACAGAGTAGAACCACTTCTCGTGTTTCCTAGGCTGTCGATCTTTACGGGAGCACATTGCCCGCTCTTTTCTCCCACAAGGCAGCGGGTGGGTTTGAACCACGGACCTTTAGGTTTGAAGTTGAACACTTCACCTCTGCACCACCAGGGCTCCTTGCATGAATCACGCAGGGAGAGATTTGCAGGCTACAAAACCTGTCTCATCTGAATGCATTGGGCCAGAGGTCCTTAGAATAAGGTGACCAGATTTTAACATTGGTAAAGCGGGACACCATTGATAAAACTCATATCCTGCCACATGGCAGCCGGAAACTGTATACCCTAGCTTGTTGTGCATTCTTTCCAAAAATCGGGACTTTTTAAAAATGCCGTGGGATGTGGGAAAAATTGTTAAAAAGTGGGACGTCTGGTCACCTTACCGTAGAAGGAACCGTAGAAGGAATCGTTTTTTTCTTTTAAGTTATAGATATAAAACAGGCTCATTTGAGGAAGGCTCATTGACCAGAAATACAGAAAAACAAAGTGGAGTAAAAACTGCCTACGATTCTTGAGGTGCTTGAAAACTAGGCTCACACCAGAGCATGAAAGTCTTCTCTTCGTCCCTTTCCTGGCCACCAATAATGCAGGAGCCTGTGAAGTTTACAGCTTGCTTTGTTCCTTGGGAAAGGAGCCCTGGTGGGGCTTAGGCACTGGGCTGTGAACCCGAAGGTCAGCAGTTCAAAACCACTAGCTGCTCTGCAGGAGAAAGATAAGGTTTGCTGTGCAGAGTTACATCCTCAGAAACCCAGGGAGTTCTCCCCTGCCCTGTAAGGTTCACCATGAGTCAGAATCGACTTGATGGCAGTGAGTGGGTTTGGCTTGGTCTTTGGGAGAAAGGAGAACTCTGAAATTGAACTCTACAGCAAACTTGCTAGGCAAAAAAAAAAAAAAAAATTATCCACTTGGGATCTTCTTGCCAGGAGTCATCCTCCCAATAGGTATGTGCTACCTTCCTGGGCATCCCATGTGCCTGTCTCACAACCGAGGGGTGGGCCTGCAAGAGGTCCTCAAGGACTCATGCCAGCCTGAGCAGCCCCAAACGGCAGTCCCAATCTGATGATATGGGAAAGAAGGTTGGAGCCTTGGGCCTCAGAATCCAATGGGGCTCTGGAGGGCAGAGGACCCAGGAGCCCAGCCTGCCCTGAGCTCCTGCGCCACGCCACGCCACTTGCAACCTTGCCACAGACGGTGTGCCTGGGAGCTGGGGTAGACAGCCTGACAGCTCCAGGGCCGCCCACACTGCTGAGTGGGCCCCTCATGGTCAGCTTCTGAGCACCCTGCCTCTTCGTCACCACAGTGACTCCCTCGAAGCACTGTACCAAGCAAATGACAGACTTCATCTGCCCCGAAAAAGAGAACCGGTTCTCCCTTGCGTTGTTTAAGGGGGGGGGGGGGCGGTTCTGTTTGTAGGCCAACTCCACGTATCCCCTTATAAGAAACAGACCCAGGTGATGACAAGCCTGCATCCGTCCTGGGTGGTGAGCCTCAGGTGGGATTCTTAACAATGCTGCCACGTACCTGAGAGTCTCCTGTAAGGCTTGTTGCTGTTTCTGGTGCCATTTTGATGTTTCTTGTCCAATGTGGCCGGTAGGACACCTTTGCCGTTTAAGATCTTCTCTGGTGATGGTGGCACTGGCTTGGGCATAAAACCCGGCTTCATTAGAGGTGAGTTGCAGGCGGCGGAGGACAAGGTGGTGGAGAAGGAGGAGGAGGGGGTGGCGGTGGGCGGGGCTGTCGAGTTCATTTTGACATTGGCACCATCTGCCTTCATTAGGTTAGGGATCTTTTCTAAACTGACCACAGGAACCGGAACGCTGGAAAACAAACACACACCTCCTTTGACACATCAGGTCCATGGGGGAGTCTCTCCTAGCTTATCATTATCAGAAGGCGTCCCCAATCATTTATGCGGTGCCCATCAGCGAGCAGCGTGAGGCCCGTTTTGCTTAGAGGGAGTTTCATGGCCAGGAACAGGGGTGTTGTGTGTGTGAGGCTGGCACACAGCCAAGGATGCATCAGCACTGACTGGTTGTGTCCCCTCTCTCTGTTGGGCAGGGCAAGGTGCCTGCTAGGAAGGACAAACTGATCCTTGCCAGAGGTCAGGCACCAGGCCCCGTCCCTTGGGCCCGGACGTGTACTCGGCTCTCAGGGTGCTGACAGGTCACACCACCCCACAGGGAGGCATGCCACACCCTGTACTGTTGTGGGGGGGAGGGGCTCCTGGGTGACTCCCCCCATCCTGGGTCAGGGCTCCAATTGAATGAGCCACCACGTCCCATTATGTAAGGTTCCATTTTAGGCAGCTCATTATGTAAATAGGTGAGGCTCCGGGCTGGCAGGTGAAAGGATGCATTTTACAAAGGGTGAGCACAGAGTATATAGCTCTCCCACCAGCAGGGCCCCAGCTGTGTTGCCTGGAATGGAAGTTCATCCTGTCTCTTGCTTCCATAATGTCCAGGGGCCCCACGTCCCCAGGGGGCTGGGCAGGGACTGGATCCCCTTTCCTCCCCACGGGGCGGGTGGAACGCGACCTCGCCAGTCCCCTGGCATCGTGCGGCAGAGCGTGGCGTCTGCTTAGCTATCAGAACGAACGCCAAGGGAGTGGGCAGACAATACAGGACTGAGAGGCTGGTTTTGGCAGGGAGGGAGGAGCCTCATCCGTCACGTGGTTGGTTGCCACGCCCTTCTCCACAGATCCGGAGGTCATTCCATTGATGCACGTGTGCTCTGCTCGGAATGTCGGTAGCAAAGCCCCAGCCACTGCCCTGGCAGCAGGGTCACAGATGCTATGGGTAGATCTCTGCACAGGACAGCGGGCCGGACTGCTGCCAGCCCTCACCCCCCACCACGCACTCTCTTGACTCAGGGAAGGGTGCTGGGGAGGGGGAGGCCTGCATCCCAGAAACCGGGATGGTGATTTTAATATAATAATAAGGCACACCAGTGCGAAGCCACCTCGGTCAGAGAGCCTGAGACTGGGCTACACGGCAGCTGCTTTCTGTTTAGCCCAAGCTTTCTCAGCACCCACACACCGCAAGACAGCTGGCAAGAAGCCCCCGAGAGGCGCGCACAAGGAAGCTTGCAGACACTACCTGCCGAACTTCACTCTTTGCTCCTGATTTTTTTGTTTTTTCCTCTAAATGATTAGGAAAAAGACCCATATGTTACAGAATCTTCCTAGGGCTGCTCCTGCACTTTTAAAACCAAAAACAAACACAAATGGCCTAACTCATGCGCGTACCGAATCCCTAAAACGGTGACTTTTAACAGAGTATGGCAGGTAGACGTCAATAAGCCTGATATCGAAAGGCCCCAGGAGCCTGCTCAAGATGCTCTGGCTGGACACATCTTGTGTCCTGGTTCTGACCGGCTGACTTCCATGTCTTTAGAAAGGCCAAGTGCCATGTGTCGGCGGGAACACCTGGACCACCACGGGCCGGAATAGGAAGATGCTCTAGCGTGCGAGTGGCCGTCACTGGCACCTATTTGTGGAGCTGGGATGTTCAGGAGAGAAGCCAGACCTTCTGGGTCCAGGCTACATAGCCGGAAGGTTCCGGTTTCTGTGAACCCACCCTGGGCACACGGAGAGCCCCCAGGGGTCCCACAGACCTCAAACCCATGACAGAATGATCCACAGCAGTTCTACAAACTGATGTGCACACGAGAGCCAAGCCAAGCCAAGAGCTTCTCAAGACACCCACAGTACAGCCCGTGTTCCTGCCCTAGAGTCTCCACACAGCTGAAGGGGTGTCCCTGAGGGGTGTCCCTGAGCAAGCACAGGTGCTGTCGGGTCGGTTCCGATTCATAGCAACCCTGCGCACCACAGAATGAAATGCAGCCACCCTCACAATTGTGATGTTGGAGCCCATGTCGCAGCCACTGTGTCAATCCATCCGCTGAGGGCCGTCCTCTTTTTTGAGGACCCTCTTCTGTAGTAAGCACGATGCCCTTCTCCAAGGGGCCGGTCTATCCAGATAACACATCCGAGTGAGTGTGGCCCACTCATGGCCTGGTGGTGGTGTGGTTATGCATTAGGCTGTGATCTGCAGGGTCGTCAGTGCAAAACCACCAGCAGGTCTGTGGGAGAAAGACTGGACTCTCTACTCCCATAAACAGTAAGAGTCTCGGGAACCCACGGGGCGTGTGTGGGTGTGTTGCGGGGAGCTCTCTAGGAGTCAGCACCGACTCGATGGCAGTAAGTTCGGATTCACACCCTTCACTACAAATGGTCCCAGGACTCTGCTTGGACTTTCAGCTTAGCGTCAGCAAGCAGGACGTGCTTGCTTGGGTCTTGTCCAAAATGGCATGGGAAAGCGGATGGTATGCAGCCTTCTGGAATTAGTTCTCGTGGATTTGGAAGGGGGCAGGGTTGTCATGGATTGACCCCCCAAATATGTGCCAACTGAGACCTCTCCTTCTTTGCTCCATTCCCTCTCCCTTTTATCTCCTGTGAGAGAAAAGATTCGGCTGGACTCCCCGACATGGGATCAGGGCTGTGACCTGAGGAAGAGTGTGGCATCCCTGCCTAACCCCCTTACAGCTGACAGATGAATCACGTAACATCCAGGGGTGGTTACATCATCACAGAACTGCCAAATGACAGTGTTACGTAACTGCCAAACCACTGAGGAGCACGGCCCCGGCAAGGCGGCACATATGGGGGTGGTGGTGCATTCGAAGGACGACAGTAGTCTTGCCTTAACTTGCTCAGAGGAGCTAAGGAGAGCACAGCTTCATGTCAGGGGGAGGAGCCGAACATCCTGAGAGGGACAGAGAGAGGGTGAATCACACAGCCGTGACCTCATCACACTCAGAGTATGTGTGAGTGTGTGAGAAAGAGAGAGATAGAAATGAGAGGCAGGAGATGGGGGAAGAAGTTGGAATCACACAGCTCTGACCGTGTCCCCTCACCCCCTGGATACTCTTGAGTCATGTGCTTTCTTCACCGCCCGCGGGCATCAACCAGAGATCTTACACTGGTGGACAAAGGAGGGGAGATGGTGGGTGGCACATGATTTGGAAGGCCAATTGAGAAATCTGATCTTGTTCAAGCTAAGAGTTGGGCTGACCCTGGAAGCTGATGAGAGTCCCTCGTGCCCACTTGGCTAGCATAGTGATGCCCTGCCTTGTAGCTTTACCCCAGGGAGCCAGATCACAGCTGGAAGTCACCACCTGGCATGCTTCTGCTTTCTCCCATTTGTCCTTCCCTCCTTCCTCACTTCCTCTATCCACCGTGTCCCTTCCTCAGCTAGTGTCCAGCCCTGGACAAGTGAGTTAGGGCCCCTTTCTGATGACAGCAGATCCCCGAGTAATAGGTTTCATGATTTCTCATCTGCAAATAGGCCGGCAGGTTCTAACCTCTGTGCTCTTCGGCTCTGTGTGTAACCACACCAACTCCAACGCCTCCACGTGCACCTGGGAGCTGGGGGGCGGTGAGCTGGCAGCCCTGGGATGACTAAGTGATTCCTTATTCTGCGGACTTAGGTGATACACATGTCTGGCAATCACCCTGGGGTTAGGCAAAACCTCTGGCAGTTCCTTCCCTTCAGTAATGAGGTTTATACACTTCTGCTCCCGAGTTTCATAATTAGCCTCCACTGCCATCCTGTTTGGAGGGGCTGCGTTTGAAAGGGGAAGGCAACTCCCCCTTACCCTGACCGATTTCCGAATGCTTGGTTTGTCTGCTGGGGTGGACTCCTTCAGCGAGCCCTGGTGGTGGCGCTGGTCCCTGGTCTTACTCACATGCCCAGGCAGTGCACATCTCCTTGTTGCCACCAGACCCCGCCCCATACCCCAGAACAGGCTTCCCTCACCAGAACAGGGGACAAGGAAGGCGTCACCTTGTGAGGGCACAAGGGCGAGAGTGTGCTACAAAAGGCCTGGCCGTCTATTCCCATCGCCCTGGACTCTGACTCGTGGCGACTGGGTAGCAATCCTGTATCTCTCTCTCTCTGTGGAAGCAGACTGCCACACCTTTCTTCTGCAGGTGGGCCGGTGGGTTGGAACCACCAAGCTTTCGGTGAGCAGCTTTAACCACTGCACAACCAGGGCTCCCCCATATAAATCCTCAGTCTTGGAAACCCTCTGGGGAAATTCTACTCTGCCCTGTAGGGCCGAGAGGAGTCGGAATGGAGCTCAAAGCATTATACAACAACAATTCTCCTTCCCGGGGGGCTTGAATGGTCTGCATGGGTCCTTCTGGACCCGAGGAGGCGCTCCAGCTTAAAGGAAAACAGTTCTTTGGCAGCAAGCAGACTTGTCCCCTCCCCAGTGATGTCTGCAGGGGTGCAGAGGTGGAGACAGACGAGGGGCTGGAGGGAGGGCCGCTGTGTAGCAAGGCCAGCTATGCTTCTCGCACATGGTGATTGGTTCTCCTGCCTCAACAGACAACCGTAAGAGAACGGTCCAGAGTGTCTGCAGGCCTGCAGACATTTCTGCCAGCCCTCACAGCCCCTACCAGAGCGGGCAGGGAAGTATCTGACAGGAGGGAACTGGAAGGCAGAGGGTACCTGTGACGTATGTGCACAGGGCTCATGGCTTCGACCCATTGCTTCTTTCAACCAAGGCCCATGTGCCTGTGCAACTTGGCAAGTCAGTCCCTAACCACGGGCAGAGCTTGGCAAGTCAGTCCCTAACCACGGGCAAGAGCTCTGGTTACATGTTAGGCTGCTAACCGCAAAGCTGGCAGTTTGAACCGATCCCGATCGGCCACTCTGAGGGAGGAAGATGAGGCTTCCTGTTGCCATAAAGGTTACAGTCTTGGAAACCGAGGGGCAGTTCTACTCTGTCCTAGCCGGTCACTAGGTGTCAGAAT